GGGGGGGGGGGGGGAGGAAGGGGGAGGTCTCAAGTCTCGCAAGCTGATCTTAAACTATATAGTCAAAGACCGCCTTCAACATCTGGTTTTCCGGCCTCCACCTTCCCAGTGTTGGGATTTCAGGGCTGTGCGCTTCGCTGCGAGCACTTTATCATTGAGCCACACTCCCAGCCTCACTGCTTGGATCTCAAGGAGCTACAGGGGTTGGAAACACAGTCTTTGGCCTGCGCATGTTTAACTTTCTAGATATCTCCAGAAAGTCAGCCATGTAGTTGGTGTTTGTCTAACAAGAGTCCAGATGCCAGAGCACAGCCTGTTTCTGGTGCTGGTCACTTCTGAATGGAAAGGAGGCAGTGAAAGCCCCTATAGGGAATTGAAGGCCGAGTTTGAGCATCACCACTTCTGTAAGGGCAGAAAGGGCCAGCGGATTTATGCAGACTGGACGCGGGGATAGGGGCGGGGACAAGCGCTGATTGGTTGCGTTTTCGGCTCCTGCTTTGGCCAAGCCATGCCTGTCAGGGTTAGGCTCACCGCACTCTGCTCCACTTTGCAGCTGTCCTCCATGAAGCTGAAGCATTTTACTGCCTGCAGTTTAGTGTTTACTTTCACGTAAATCAAATGCTCCCTTACAGGCATCCCTTTCCGTTCGTATTCTGAAAATACTTTCCTTTCAAACGTGAATCCTTTCAGATATGGCTGGTTATTAGCCTTATAAGGAAACTTGTGTAGCTGATGGGGAAAAAAAATCGGACTTTTCCACCAACAGCTAAATAAGAGCTTTAAAATATTAAAGTCTTGTTGGTCATGTGAATAGCAATACACAAAATATAACCAGATTACTTTGCTCTTTAATGTGTGTGTGTGTGTGTGTGTGTGTGTGTGTGTGTGTGTGTGTTCCCTCTGATCACTAACCTGTAGACTCATTGTGAGATTAAAAAGGTACAGGTTTATACATGATGACAGAAAAGTAAAGGTATCAGTACTTGTTAACCAACCTTATTATTTTTAAAGTCTTTAGATTATTTAATGACATGGGCAGAATGATAAGTTTAACCAGTTATTTGTTGGTAAGTATTTTGTCACAGCAAGCACAAGCTCATTCTGTCTCACAAAACCATGGCCCTGGCAGGTGAAGTCAGAGTACAACTCGGAGGAGTCAGTTTTCTCCTTCCACCATCTCAGGAATCCAGCTCAGATTTTCAGGGTTGGCTGCAAGGGTCTTTACCTGCTGAGCTATTTCACTGTCCACCCTTTTTTTTTTTTTAATAATTTGCCTCAATTTAATTTTTTTCACTATTAGACTTTTTTATTTTTTTATTTTTTGAGACAGTGTTTCTCTGGAGCTTTGGAGGCTGTCCTGGAACTCACTTAGACTAGGCTGGCCTCGAATTCACAGAGATCTGCCTGTCTCTGCCTTCTGAGTGCTGGGATTAAAGAACTTAGAATTAATATCTAAATAACAAATTTTTGACTAAGCCTTATGCCTTTTTCATTCTTTTCAAGATGGATTATTGTTATCTTGCCTGCCCAAGCTGGCTGAAGCAATAAGCTCCCTTCAGTCTTCTAAGAAGCGGGCTATAGGCATGACCACTTGTCCAGACTTAAACCATACACCTTTAAATGTCAATGGAAGATGTCGTTGAAATTTTATGCACACAAAGAAAACGAAGCAAGCAAATAAAATAATTGTTAACTTCAGGGAAATAAAACACAAGAAAATGCAAAGCAGGAAATTCGGTCGGCATTGTGAACAGGACTGGCGAAGTCCTGATTACAACAATGAATACTGACTGACCGAAATATGAATCTAGCTCAATTGAAGGGTTGAGAGAGGGATGTATGTGATGAGGGTTGGTAGGAAGAGGGGAACTCAGGCTCCAGCTTTGTTCATGGAGTGTCAGTAGAGAATACTCCAGACAGAAATGGAGATACACCCAAACAAATGTTATCAAACACCTAGGAAAGCATTTCTACACACACTCATCAAGTAACAGGTAAAAGGTTTTGCTGTGGAAATCATGTGGTTTTTATAACACCACTGATCTCTTTTATTCTTTAAATGACCAGTTCTCTTCCCCCACAACACAAACACATACCCCCTTTGTTATTTTGAGATTGTGTGGCATGTAGCCCAGGGTAGCTTGGAGCTGAGGATGACCCTAAAGACTTTGAGCTCCTGTGCCTGCCCCCAGCTGAGATTGCAGTCATGGGCCCACCATGCCTGTTTTTACTACTTACTTACTGTGGTTCTGGTGAGCCAACCCAGGATCTCAAAATGGCTATGCAAGTGTTCTGCCCACGAAGCAACACTCCCAGGGCTTTGTGGTTGGCCATGAACTGGTGATCCTTCTGCCTCCTTTTACTAAGTACTGGGGTTACAAGCAAGGACTACCAAACTGTCCCCATTTTTTTTTTTCTTGAGCCTCTAATGCAGTGGTTCTCAACCTTCCTAATGCTGTGATCTTTTAATATGGTTTCTCGTGTTGTGGTGAACCCAACCATAAAATTATTTTCATTGCTACTTCATAACTGTAATTTTGCTGCTGTTATGAATGGTAATGTAAATATCTGACATGTGATGGGGGGGGGTCTTGACTCATATGTTGAGAACCCTTAATCTAGAGAGTAGTGACTGACTGGGCAAGAAGCCAAGGTTTCCCTGTGTACTTACTGGACTTCTCAAGCTCCACACTTATGAAAACAATTTTTATTCAAGCTGTAAGAATAGCTCACTGGAGAATGCTTGCCTACTGTGTGTGAGGGCCCAGACTCAATCCAAACTTTTTTTAAAAAACTTTAAACAAAATTAATCCTAGTTTTTCTTTAAGACAGTGATATTTTGTTTGTTTGTTTGGTTGGTTGGTCAGTTGCTATTTGTCTGTTTTTTGAGACAGAGTCTCACTACACAGTTCAGGCTAAACTCTTGACTCGCTATGTAAGCCTAGGCTGGCCTCAAAACTGACCATCCTCTTGCCTCCACCTCCCAAGTATTGGGTTTTCAGGCAAGTGCCACCACACCTGGCAAACAGTGTGTTTATGTCTTTTGTTTTTGTTTGTTTTGTTTTTGGAGACAGGGTTTCTCTGTGGTTTTGGAGGCTGTCCTGGAACTAGCTCTTGTAGACCAGGCTGGTCTCAAACTCACAGAGATCCACCTGCCTCTGCCTCCCGAGTGCTGGGACTAAAGGCATGCGCCACCACTGCACGGTTTATGTCTTACATTTTTGGTCGAAGGTTTTTCTTTTTTTCTCTTTACATTTCCATTGTTCTCTCAGATACTTCTTGATATTTGAGTCTAAAAACTAATGCAAAGTTAATCACCAAAGCAAGAATAAATATTGGGCTTTGTTTTTTCTTTCTTTTTACTTACTCACTCTTTCACTACAACTGGCTGGTAGCTTGGTGGGCTAGAGCTGGCTTCTTATCTCTAGAACCAGAAGCCACTCCCTTGAGAGCTCTGCTCCTCATCTTCCTCCACTTTTGGTACCTGGGTCAAGTTGCAAATTTAAGAAGACAAGATTAATTCTCTTTAGTACTGGATAGATGTACTGTGTTCATTTTGTTTTGTTTGTTTGAAATGGTGGAGCTCTATGCTAAGGCCTCAAATGTTCTAGGCAAGCACTGTACCACTGAGCTACAGCCCTAACCTGGATGATTTTACACAGCTAGTAAAACAGGGGCCTTTAAGCTGGGGATGTGGTTGTTCAGTGGTAGAGTGCATGGACAAGCCTCTGGGTTCCATCCCTTACATTCATACACACACTCATACACACACACACATACATACACATACACACACTCACACACTCAAAAATCAAACAAAAAAGCCTAGATGTGGTGCCTCACATCTGTAATCACAACACTTGGGAGGCTAAAGTTTGAGAATCATGAGTTCAAGGCTAACCTGGGCTACACAGTGTTCAGGTAGGGCTAAAGTGAGACCCTGCCTTAAAAGAAGTAAAACTCAATTCCTTTTCCTAAATCTCTATTTTAAAACATTTTTTAAAGATTTCATTTTATTTATTATGTATACAACATTCTGCTTCCATGTATATCTGCACACCAGAAGAGGGCACCAGATCTCATAAAGGATGGTTGTAAGCCACTATGTGGTTGCTGGGAATTGAACTCAGGACCTCTGGAAGAGCAGTTGGTGCTCTTAACCTCTGAGCCATCTCTCCAGCCCTTAAAACAATTTTTAAAAATTATTATTATTATTATTATTATTATTATTATTATTATTTTTGCTGAGCAGTGGTGGCCCACACCTTTAATCCCAGCACTCAAGAGGCAGAAGTAGGCGGATCTCTCTGAGTTCGAGGCCAGCCTGGTCTACAGAGTGATTTCAAGGACAGCAGGTGCTACAGTGTGAAACCTTGTCTCTAAAAACAAAACAAAAATTAAAAGAAACCATAGCTGTCTAAAACCAAGTAAATATATAAAATAGTAAAGTCACTTGGGAAAACAAACAGTTTAGCAATTCTTCAAAAGCTAAACTTAAGGGGTGGGATGGAGGGTTGGGTGGAATGAAGGAATGGGAGGAGGAGAACGGAAGGGAGAGGGAACTGGAATTGGTATGTAAAATAAGGTTGCTTTTAATTTAAATAAAAATTAATTTTAAAAAGGGTAAACCTAAAAGTACTATGTAACCTAACATTTAGTAGATAAACTAAAATCTACTGTTACATATTTTATATACATTATTGTGTGTTACTGTGTGTATATGCATGCATGTGAGTCTCTGGTATACATAGGCTATATGCACATATATATATAGCAAGTGTGCACACCTGTGCTTATGCACAGAGACCAGAGGAAGATGCTAGGTGTTCCACTTATTCACTCTACCTTATTACCTTGAGACAGGGTTTCTTTTTGAACCTCCATATAAGCTGATGGTCAGTAAGCCCCAGAGAGCCACTTGTCTTCACTTCCTGCAGTGACGG